GTCTTCCAGGTCTCTTCCTGGCCACGGTCAGTGTCTTCCAGGCCAAGGTCAGCCTCTTCCAGGTCAAGGTCAGTCCTTTCTGTCACATAGTTGCTGATCCCCTGTATATGTATGTTATCTGAGTATCATAGTTAGTACCATCCATATGTTTTACATAGTTGACTCCTTGCTAGGCTCAGTGACTAGCTTGTGTGACGTCACGTGATGCCGCATGAGAGTGCTGCGCTTCCGGCCTCGTCCTCATTCTCCACGCTTAGGTTTTACACCCAAACACAGGCGGGTTGGGCCTCTTCCCTCTCACACTTTGCTAATATATGTGTTACCATCCAACGACTGTGTTTAACTCCAACCATTACATCTCCACGAACCCTCCCGACACTTTCAGGTCATGGTCAGTCTCTTCCAGGCCAAGGTCAGTCTGTTCCAGGTCAAGTTCAGTCTGTTCCAGGTCAAGGTCAGTCTGTTCCAGGTCAAGGTCAGTCTGTTCCAGGTCAAGGTCAGTCTGTTCCAGGTCAAGGTCAGGCTGTTCCAGGTCAAGGTCAGTCTGTTCCAGGTCAAGGTCAGTCTGTTCCAGGCCAAGGTCAGTCTCTTCCAGGTCAAGGTCAGTCTCTGAGAGACCCGTCTCACTAATGTCATCATCTCGTAAATCCAATAGGCAGGATGAAAGTCTTTTCACTCTGAAAAGAGATTTATCATAAAACGTTAAAGCTCGACAAAGAGCGAAACGTTCCGACATAAGCTTGTTGTCCAACTTATGTTTTGTCTTCCTGACGTTTTCTACCAGCATTCTGCTTCACGGACAAAAGTTGTAAGTTCACGTACTGATAATTGTCAAACACAAGTTGAACAAATCTGTAAGTTATGAGGTTTGAATTTACAGAGACCTGCTCGTCATGGGCCACGGACCGTGAAAACCCTTAACCCTCCAGTGTTTCCTCCCGTAAGGCCATCGTGGTGAGTATGCCTCAACTGTGTCACGGGTTTCACCCCACGGGAAAGGGGTCGTGTGGAAGATTGAGACACTTAGCAAACAGGGAAAATTTTTATTGAAAAAACGTTTAGCCACCAGTGGTTTTATCATTCAGTACAAAGAAAAGGTGAAAGGGGGGAAAAAGTTTGAGGTAATCGTCACTCTTCGGGAGTCTATTTGGTTCAGTCCATCAATCGTAGAAAGTGAACACATGACTCCAGGCTGAGGGACTGATAACCTCAAACTTTCCCCCTTTTTACACCTTTCTGCTTTCTCTGGCTGATGAACCCCCTATTGGGGGGAACGTTTCAATCTTCAAAATCGCGAGGGGAAACCCTTTACCCCCAGAGGTACGTGTCTTGTGTGTTGTACCAGAGGTTAGGGTTTGGTAAATTTGTCAGGAAACAGGGACAATTTTTTCTTTAGTTGGGTTTTTGTCAATAGCCACAGTAAAATATTGCGTGCCTGAGGAGGGCCGGAATGGAGGGGGCGCCGCCAGAGGGCCCAAACCCCCGCCGCTCTTGGGTTCCATGAGTTTGAAGGTAACCACGACGGGAGGGGGGGGACTCGACCCCTGGTCTTGCCCAAAAGGTTGTACCGTCCACCCCCGCACGCGCTGTAGTCCGGCTCTTCGTGCCCAGGGGGCTGCCCTTTGCAAACCAACGTTTCGCAGCTGTGTGTCAGGTAGAGAAGGGGTTCACGGGAAAGCGCCCCAAAACCGTAAAGGTCAAAGACTTGGGGGAAAAATTGGTTGCAATTTCCCTTTAAAAAAATTTGTACTAACCCAATTTTCTGCTGCCCTATTTACACGACAGTTAAAAGTGGAGGGGAAAACCCGTCAATTATCGGGATTGTTTTATTATAAATTAAACTAATTTTTATAACCCTGAACTAATATTCATATTGAGAAACATACTAGTAAATAGTTTATTCAGGGTATGCAAAATACCTTACATAAATTTCATACATAGCAACATATGTATAGAGAAAATAAGATAACCCAGAAAAGTAGACGAGTGACTTTTTTTCCATTGTGGTCCCAATGTTTTGAAGGTTGTATTTGAAAGGGGTTTGCTGCGAATAAGTAACAAATTTAAGTTGTTTTGTGTTGGAAATCAAATTTTTCTTAAACTGAATTTTTTAATAAAATTGATTAAAAAATTAAATATTGTGTAATTTTTTAAATATGGGAAAATAAGGTGTGTGTGTGGTGTTGGTTGGTGGGTGGTGTGTGTGTGTGTTGGGTGTGTGTTTTGGTGTGTGGTTCACGGGTATTCGGGTATTATCACGTGTTTAACATTTAGTTTCTGGTGTTCATAAAATTACCCGAGAACCTGCAGTTTCGGTGTAGTAACCCCTGTGGGGATCACTCTTAACCCAGCCAACACCCAGCACGTGTGGTGGATTAGGGGGAGTGTTCCCTCAGTCTTGTGTTTTTACTGTGTTTACCTCAGCCTTGGTTCTTGTTACCTCCTTTTTTTCGTGTTCCCTCAGCCTTGTGTTTTTGGTTCACCTCAGCCTTGTGTTCTGTTTTTTACCTCAGCCTTGTGTTCTGTGTTCACCCCATTTGTGTTCTACGAGTTACCTGCCTTGCCTTTTTGAATTCACCTATTTGTGGTTTTGGGGGGTTATTCTCCACCTCCCCCTCCTCCACCACCACCACCCCCTCTAAACCCCCCCCACCCCATCACCCCCTCCACCTTTACCACCGCACCCCCCCACCCCCCACCACCTCACCCTTTCCCCCCACACCCCCAGCACCCCACCCCCACCAAACCCCACCTTCACCACCTTTACCCCTTTACCACCACCACCACCACCACCACTCCCCTTCCCCAGCACCACCAACCCCCACCAACAACCCCCCTCCCCTTCCCACCTTCACCACTTCACCCCTTCACCACCCGCCCACCCCACCGCCAGCACCACCACCACCCCACCACACCCCCACCACCACCCCCTCCACCTTTACCACCAGACCACCGACCACCACCACCCCACCACCACCCCACCACCAGCACCACCAGCACCCCCAGCCCACCACCCACCACACCACCCCCACCACACCAGCACCACCAGCACCACCACACCCCGCACCACCCCCACCGCAAACCACACCCCACCACCACCCGCACCACCCCCCCACCCCGCACACCAACCCCCACCCCCACCACCACCCCAGCCCACAGCACCCCCAGCACCACCAGCAACCCCCACCACCACCACCCACCCCACCACCCGCACCACCCGCACCACCGCACCCCCACCACCCCACCCCCACCAGCACCACCAGCACCACCAGCACCACCAGCACACCAGCACCCCCCACCCCCACCCCCCCCACACCACCCCCACCCCACAACCCCACCGCACCAACCCCCAACCACCCCCACCACCCCCAGCACCACCCCACCACCCACCCCAGCACCACCCGCACACCAGCCCACCACCACCACACCCGCACCACCCGCACCACCAACCCCCACCAACCCCAGCACCCCACACCACCCCACCACCACCACCAGCACCACCACCCCAGACCACCCGCCCCCCACCACCACCACCACCCACCACCCACCACCACCACCCCACCACCGCACCACCAGCACACCCCGCACCCCAGCACCACACCCCCCACCACCACCACCAGCACCACCCACCCCCACACACCAGCACCACCGCACCCAGCACCACCCGCACCACCACCACCACCACCCCACCCGCACCCCCAGCACCCCCAGCTTCCCCCCACCACCGCACCCCACACCCCACCACCACCCCCACCCCAGCACCCCCAGCCCCCAAACCCCCCCCCACCACCACACCCCACCACCACCCAAACCCCCACCCCCACCACACCACCCCCACCACCACCACCAACCCCCAACCCACCACCACCCCCACCAACCACCAACCCCCACCACCAGCACCCCACCCCCCCACCACCCGCACACAGGGACCCCAAACCCCCCCCACCACCACCCC